CGCACACCTTGCCTACGTCCACTCCTCCCCAGGCACCTCCCACACATCCCCGCCCCCCGCCCGCCCCGACTCACAACTGGAAGCTCTCGTTGTACTTCGGCGCCCAGCTGTTGTTCTTGGATTTGGTGGCGAACTTGCGCTTCTTATCGCTGAGCTGGGGCCCGATGATGTTGACCTCGATGAATGGTCGGAAGATGCCCGAAGTCTGCCACTTGAGGTCATTGGCAGCCACCACTGTCGGGGGAAGTAGAGGGAAGCCTGGTCAGGAGCGCCCAGCATGACAGAAGTAGTCCTCTGTGGCTTTTTGTTTTTAAGACAGGGTCTTGCCGTGTAGTTCAGGCTGGCCTCAAACTCACAGCAGTCTCCCTGCCTCAGCTGCCTGAGTGCTGGGATTACAGGTACAAGCCACCACGCTAAGCCATCTGTGGTTTCTTTAACCTTGTCTCAAACAGACTATATTCCCAGCACGTCTGCCTAAGTGTGGTCATGTGACTGAGTTTCAGCCAATGAGCTATGAGAGGAAGTGAGGTACACAACTTCCGGGTAGTGGTTTAAAAGAAAGGGAGCCTGCCTCAAAGTTCCTCCTTCATGCTGCTGGCTGCAATGTTCTATGGGGCTCTTTAGAGGAACACATTAGGGGCAAAAGCACAATAGAAAACGGCAGAGGCGAAGATGCAAAAAAAATTCCCTGGATCCAGCCGTGCCTGAAGTGGACTCATCTCTGGTCTTAAAGCAAAAATTGGAAACGACAAAATTCCCGTTCTGGCTGATCAGTTAAGAGTGTGGCTTTATCTTAGGACACGGTGATGCCCCCTCCCACCTCAGGTCACTCACCTTTCACTGTGACCTTCTGTTCCCCGGTTCCTGGGTGAGTGAAGAGCTCCACGTGGACGGAGACTTCGCCCACAGGGTCTTCTACACCCGAGCCTGGGCGGGGCAGGAGGGATGGCCAGATGTGAGCTCTGTTTTCCTGCCGCCGGGAAGGCCCTGGACCACCTCCTCCCACCATGTGCTAGAGGCACCAGGTCACCAGCCTTGACAGGGAGGTGCTCAGTGGGGCTGGGGTGGTAGGAGCTCCCTGGAAGACGGGAATCCTAAGTCCTGGCTTTTTACTGCTTTGCCATGTGACCTCAAGACGACATCTTAGCCTCTCTGAGCCTAATGCATCTGCCTTCCTTTTTCTCATTCTCCAATCCACCTTTCTCAACCCCAGGGGCTTCCTTGTGGCTCGTTTAACACACTGCTCTTGGGGCCCAGAATCCTCATTTTTCCCGAGGTGACAGCTTGCTCGAGAATCTTGTTTTTCGTGCCTCGATTGCCCTTCTGATACAGATTCCTACCCTCACCTCAGACCTCCTGATTCAGACAGGTTCCATTCTATAGCTGAGTTTATAGTGCTAAAGGGACCACAGTGCCCAGTCAAGTGCAAGACCTGCCCAGGACTGCAGGGATTGGCTCAGAATTGGTCATGTGACGCAAATCGGGCCAAGAGGCGTTGGTTTTGGGCTTCAGCTGTAATTTAAAGCTGTGAGTCTCCCACAAGCGCTAAGTGGGCCAGGCTATCTCTGCCGGATGAATGGCCAGCCCGCCCCACAACGGTTTCTGTGGTAACCAATGGAGGCAAAGCAAGGTGGCCTTGTTCGGAGACTCTGGATCCAGCTACTCCTGAGGCCAATCCATCCCAGACCTTTTTGGTTCCACGGCCTACAGATTTCCTTGTCGGCTTGAGTCGTGGTGATTGTCACTTCCCTTTCTGGCCACCATTAGTGTCCTGAGTGGTCCTGTTGAGGACTGTGGACCCGTGGCCACCAGCACCCCCTTGAGCCCTCTCCAGCCCCAGGCAGCACCCCACTCCTGCGCACCCCATGCAGGGGACAGGAACGGGAGAGTTGGAGTGAGGGGTGGGGAGCGGGTCAGTCACGGGTCGGCCTGGGTGACCTCTCGACGGCCTGGAAGTGGCCGAGGGTCAGGAGCAGAGGGAGCGAGACCCCACCCGGACGCCCACCAGGCTGCCTTCCTGTCACGTCAGGCCCCGCCCCACCGTCGCATGCTCAGCTCGCCCTCCCCCAAGGCCGATGCTTCACAGCAAGCTCAATCCGGGCCAGATGGGGAGCTGGTTAGAGTGCGGTCGGGTGAGCCAAGGCTAGTGAGAAGGGGGGGGCAGCGCTGCGCCCCCTCCCAGGGTTTGCTGGCTCCACGGGGAAGGCTTTCTGCGGGGTCACTGTGCTCCCCCAACCCCACACCCCGCGCCCCGGGCCCTGCAGGAAAAAGGCACCCTCCTGGCACAGCAGGAAAGTATTTCTTCTTTCACTTTTGCAGTACTGGGGATCGAACGCCCGAGCTGCCTCCCTGCCCCTTTTAAAATTTCTCATTTTGAGACAACGTCTCGACAAGTCCCTCAGTGACCCAGGCTGGCTTCAAAGTTGAGATCCTCCTGCCTCAGCCTCTCAGAGTGCCTGGCTGTTGAGAAATCCTTTGGAGACCTCTCAAGAATCCCTTGGCACTGGGTTTGGCTTAGAGTTAAAGCCTGAAAACGTTAGTCATTTTCTACTCTGAAAAACATGACACTAAATATAACAATTGCTTTGAGTTTACCACGTGCCAGGAATTGCTCCAAATTCATTAATTTATTTATTTAGGTTTTTTTGAGAGAGGTTCTCACTGTGCAGCCCAGGCTGGTCTTGAACTCACAGCGATCCTCCTGTCTCAGCCTCCCCAGTGCTGGGATTACAGGCATACACTACCATGCCGACTGTTTAAAATTTAATCCCTCTAATATTCAAAAAATTCTATGAAGACGGGCCCTTGACAGTCTCCATTCTATAGATGAGGCTACCAGGGCTCAGGGAGGCAGATTCTTGCCCTGAAGCATCTAACACGCAGAATGGCTGGGCCAGAATCTGAATCTAGCTGTGTGTGTGTGTGTGTGTGTGTGCCGTGCGCCTGCGTGCGGTTTTGGGGATTGAGCCCAGGGCCTTCGCATGGAGCTACATCCCCAGTGCTTTTGTTTTTGAGACAGGGTCTCACTAAGCCACTTAGTTCCCCAGGCTGGGCTTGAGGATCCTCCTGCCTCAGCCTCCCGAGCGCTGTGACGCCAGGCGTGCTCCACCAGGCCGGGTCTGGGAACGCTCTCAAACTCCACGCGCCTGTCTGGCAGCGAGGGCGCACACCTGGCGGGGCGCACACCTGGCGGGGCGCACACCTGGCGGGGCTCCCGCCCTACGTGGAGCCAGCAA